GGTCCTTTCAGGCTGCTGCCCGGCGCTGGGCTCAGAGGGAGCGTCCGAGTGAGTCCGTGCCGGGCCCTTTAGAGGAGCTGCTGGGGCTCCTGCAGCCTCCGCGACCCTCAGGGACAGTCCCCGCTGGGTTCACAGCCCGGAGTTGTGGGGACGTCTCTTCCCGGCCTGGAGCCCTGGGCTGGGGGCCTGGTGTGGGGCTGGGACCCCTCCCTCCTCTGGGAAACCCCCACCCTGAGATTCCTCCTGGGTTTGACCCGGGGCACCGGGTGTGGGCCCGCAGCCGCGTCTCTGTGATTCAGCCCCGACCCGCCCGCGTCTCCGCCCCTCCTCCCGGTCTCGATGCTTCCTCAGCTCCCTGGTTGTGAGGCTTCTGTGCAGCTGGGTCTCAGGAGGCTCTGAGTGACGGTGGTTCTGTATTTTAGTTGTAATTTTGATGAGGTTGCGGGAGGCGGGGGGTGCAGCTGTTACCTGCGCCGCCTTCTTGTTTCTCTCCAAATTGTAAAGTTTTAATGGTGGTTGGGGTTTTTTTTTGGAATAAAATGACCAGAAGAAAATAGCAACATGGAGTTCCAGAAAACTACATAGAGTATTATACTATTTCTATGAAGATCTAATTTTAAAATTAAAATATTACTTACAGAATATATGTATATATACACACACACATATATATATATGTATGTGTAGTTGTTTACTTGCATTTAAATAAAATAAGAACTCGGAACACATAGTGTTTGCTTCTGGATGATGGAAAAGTGAAGGAACATATAAGTATTTTTAAAATTTTAATTTGCGGGCTGGTTTTATAGATTCCATTTTGATATTATGCTTGAAATGTATGCATATGTGGCGTATAATCTTGTTTGAATTCTTTTTAAAGAATAATTTTAAAGTATGAGAAATGGAAAAGGTAAAATAATACTAGATTTGATAGAATACTCAGAAATCTAAAAGAATGCCCTGATAAATCGTTAGACTTTATAAGAATTGAATGTGATTAACAAATGCAAAATAAATACCAACATAACATTCAATTGCATTTTTATGTATCAACTACAAACAGTTATAAAACGATTCTTCAAAAAGAGTTCAATAGCCAAAGGTGGGACAATTTGAGCAACAAAATAAAGTAGTATTGGGTTGTAGCCCAAAGTATAAATTAAATGAGTCTATTTTGTTGTAAAGAAATGACTAAATAAATAGTGAAAAAATCTCCCATAGAATTTTAAACAATTTCTATAGCTACTCCAGCCTCAAGGAGGTAGAGCATAGCTTCCCACCACTGTGTGTGGTAGGTACATTATGACTTGCTTCCAAAGATTATAAAGTATGGAAAGGGAGTGAAAGGAGTACTTCAGAGCAGAGAAAGCTGATAACCTTTCTCAATCAGGTGATGAAGGTCAACATCAACAGTGATAAATCATATTGATAGTATGAACTTTTTTTGATGATATAAAAATGGCACTTCTTTTATCTTCCTCCCAAAATCCCATGAACCCATTAGATTTGTCTAATTATGGAAAGAAAAAAAAATAGATCTCAATTGAGGAACATCCTACAAAATGCCTGACCAGTACTACTCAAAGCTGTCAGTGTCATCAGAAATAAGGAAAATTGGAGACGCTGTCACAACCAAAAAGTACCTAAGGAATCATGACTACTAACTGTAGTCGTCTGGATTGGATTATGGAACAAAAAAAAAAAAGAACATTAAATTATCCATTACTTTTAGAGAGAGTGCGAGGAAAGGGGAGAGAGAGAGATTTGTTGTTCCACTTACTTATGCACTCACTGGGTGATTTTTGTATGAGCCCTTACTGGGAATTGAACCTGCAGCCTTGGCGTATCAAGATGATGAGCTACCTGTCCAGGGCCAAGAACATTACATTTTTTTAAAAACTAGAACGTTCAAATAAATTAGGGACTTTAGTTAATAATGATGTATTAATATGTGTTCATTAATTGTAACATGTACCACACCAGTCACTGTATGTTGTTAGTAATAAGAGAAACTGGATGTAAGGTATATGGATTTCTCTGTACTCCCTTCAAAAACATTTTTTGTAAATTTAAAAACATCCTGATTTTTTTAAAAAAATAAAGGGCATTTGTAATTCTATTATAACAAGAATTCTGTGCTTTTTACTCAAATTTCTTCTCAAGAAAGTTCAGGTTTTGGCTGGTGTGGTTCAGTTGGTTGGACGTCATTCTGTGCACAGAAGGGTTCCCAGTTCAATTCCTGGTCAATGGGGGTTCACTCGCTCTCACATCAATGTTTCTCTTTCTCTCTCCCTCTCCCTTCTGCTCTCTAAAAATCAATAAACTATTCTTAAAAAAAAAAAAAAAATTCAAGAAGTATCAGATAATGATTATTTTTACTGTTTTAAAGCATAGTGTATTATCTTTTTCAATAGTATTTGCACTTTAATACTTTCCTCTAATTATCAGGATTTAAGGAGTATTTTTATGATGTGCAATAATTATGAAACATCAATTAATATGTTAATAGTCATAGACCTACTTGATTATCACATATTATACTCATGAAAATAAGCCTTCAAAATTTATTATTCAAATGGTATTTGTGTAGCAGAACAATCACTTCTCACACTCTAAGTACTTCTCAGCTTAGCCTGTTTCATTTTATCCAATATTTCTTCCTACTTGTGGTTTTCTTAGGCCATGTTTCATTGTGTCAATGTCCTGCAGTAAGACCTCTCTCTCTCTCCCCCTCTTTCTCTCTCTCTTCCTTTGCTATTCTCAGATACTACGAGTATTTATTCTTTGGAAGACCAAATGATTGGAAAGTACTTAATTATGATGGGTACCATAGGCCTTCTTTGCCTTCTCTTGATTTTCTTTCGGGAGACGGCTTGGTGGAAGCTAAGATCATTTCTCAATCAATATATTTATTTTGGCCTCTATAAGATGTTCAACAAGGTGAGTAGTTAAGCACGGACCTTAAGAATAACTCTAAGAAGATGGAACATTAAACCTGAAAAGCATGTAGCTACATATGACTATCTCAGTTAGTGGAGGAAAAAACCCTCTATGTCCCCAGAAATATATTTTCTTTAATAAAATTTATTAAGGTATAATTTACCTACAATAAACTGCATTTATTTTGTTGATTATTTCAAGGAACCAAACTTTGTCTATTATTGACTATTTTCTCTCTCACTGGTTTCTCCCCTCCTTTGTTCCAGTTTCTTTATGTGAAGCCTAAAGCCATAGCTTTTACGTCTTTCTTCTTTTCTAATATAAACATTGAATGCTAAGCATTTCCCTATAAGCCATGCTATAGCTGTACCCTAAAAAGCTGATTTCTTATATTTTTATTATCATTTAAATGCTCAAAGTATCTTCTCATTTCCTGTATGATTTCTTTTTTTTGTATGGATTATGTAAATGTCTGTAGGTTAATTTCCAAGTATCTGGGAGTTTTCTAGATATATTGTTGTTATTGATTCCTAATTTAGTTCTTCTGTGGTCAAGGAACATACTCGTCGTATTCAATTTTTTAAAATCCAATCATATTTGTTCTTTGGTTCAGCATATGACCAATCTTGGTAATGTGCCATGTTTACATGAAATAAATGTGTATTTTGCATTTGTTGGTTGTAATGATGATTGATGGTGTTGCTTACATCACTTAGTCTTTAACTGACATTTTTGTCTGATTGATTTATTGATTGCTAACAAAAGGTTTAAAATCTCCAATCCTGATTGTAGATTTGTTTATATCTCCCTTTAATTCTGTAAATTGTTCCTTTAGATACTTTTAATCTCTGTCATTACTTCAATAATGTATTTCCTTCTGGCTTTTAAAATTCGGATGGAAAGAAATTATCACTCAGGTCATTCTCTTTTATGTAAAGCATTGTGTTCTTTGGCTTTTTTCAAGAGATTCTCTTTATCTTTAGTTTCCACCACCAGTTTGACCATCCTGTACCAAGGCATGATGCCAGCTTGGATAAACTGAAACCATATTTTCCAGAATCCCCTTCCCTGGATTATTCCAGCCTAAAGTTGGTGATTTAAAAAATTCCCATGAGATTTGGAAGGCAGAATTGAAGCGGCACATGGCTCTCTCAAGATCGTTGTGATTGGTAGCAGTGACAGTCTTCACTGAGACTGATGCCCAGGTGCTAATGGAGCCCAGCTCGGTTGTGCTCTCCCGTCTGCATTCGCTTCTTCTGACAGCTCGCCCGGCTGGCCCACAGCAGCCACGGCTCCTGCGCAGAAACAAGTCACCCAGAGGGGCCTCCGGAAGCTTTTCTATAAAGTGCCATCCGCACGCTGGGAGCGGCTGGCTGCCAAGTATCCTGGCAGGTTTGGATTTCTCTACCTGCACGATTGCTGCAAAATGTGTTAGTGACTTTCCTCTGATTCACCAGTGTTCCTGGTTTATTTGCTGTAGGTTTAGTCAGATATTTTGTTTCTTCTTGAGTCAGTTTCAGTAATTTGTGTCTTTGGAAAACTTTACGGTTTCATCTAAATTATCTAATTTATTTGTCTGCAATTGTTTATTCCTTTGTCAATAATAATATCTTATTTCTTATTTCTAATTTTAGTAGTTTTAGTGTATCTCTTACTGTCTTGATCATTCTAAAGAAAGGTTTATAAATTTTCATCTTTGCAAAGAACCAACTTTGATTTTATTGATTTTCTTTATATTTCTATTCTCTTTAATTTCTTTAATGTTTCATTAATTTCTGCTTTAATGTTTCTTTTCTTCTTTTGCTTGCTTTAGGTTTAGCCTGCTTTGCTTTCTGAATTGTGTTACTGTGGCAGGTCGTGAAGCTGATTTGATATCTTTCTTCTTTAAATACAGATGTTTAGAGCTATAAATTTCCCTCTAAGCACTAACTTAGCTGCATTTCAATTTTTGTTATGGTGTGTCTTAATTTTCATTCATCTCAAAGCATTTTTTATTTTTCTTTGTATTTTCTTATTAAATGTATTCAGGTGACATTGATTAATAAAATTATATGGGTATACAATTCTACAGTATATCAGCTCTATATTGTATTGTGTTTACCAACCCATGTCAAGGCTCCTTCCACCACCACTTATCCCCCCTATGCCCTCTTCTACCTCCCCCTACCCCTCTTTCCCTCTGGGAATCACCATACTGTTATCGGTGTCTATAAGTATTTTTGTTCTTTGCTTAATCCCGTCACTACTTTTTTTATCCACTTGTCTATTGATGGGCACTTGTGTTGCTTTTATATCTTCACTTTAAATAGTGTTGAAATCAACATGGGGTGCCTATATTCTTTCAAATTAGTGTTTTGGGGTTCTTCAGATATATACCCAGAAGTGGAATTGCTGGGTCACAAGGCAGTGCCATTTTTAAGAACTTCCACATTGTTTTCCTTAGTTGCTGCACCTGTTTGAATTCCCACCAACAGTGCACTGTGATTCTTTTTTTCCTATATCATCACCAACACCTACTTGTTGGTGAATTTATTGGTGATAACCATTCTGACAGGTGTGAGGTGGTATTTCATCATGGTTTGAATTTACATTTCTCTGATGGTTAGTGATGTTGAGCAAATTTTGATATGCCTATGGATCATCTCTATTTCCTCCTTGGACAATTATCTATTCAGGTTTTCTGTCTACAATTTCATTGGGTGGTTTGTTGAGTGTGTGTATGTGTGCGTTTGTTGAGTTGTATAAATTATTTATAAATTTGGGGTGTTAATACTTTATCAGATGTATCATTGGCAAATATGCTCTCCCTTTCAGTCATTTGTCTTTTGTTTGGTGATAGTTTCCCGTCCTGTGCAAAATTTTTTTAATGTAGTCCCATTTATTTATCTTTTGTTTCCCTTCCCTGAAAAGATATATTAGAAAAAATATCGCTGAGAGAAATGTCTGAGACTTTACTGCCTATGTTTTCTTCTAGCAGTTTTATGGTTTCAGGCCTTACATTTAAGTCATTGATCCATTTTGAGTTTATTCTTGTATATGGTGTAAGAAGGTGGTCTACATTCATTTTTTTGCATGTATCTGTCCAATTTTTTCAAGACCATTTATTAGATAGACTGTCTTTACTACATTGAATGTCCTTGATTTTTTTGTCAAATATTAATTGACCATATGAACGCGGGTTTATTTCTGGACTCTCTACCCAGTTCCATTGATCTGTATCTATGTTTATGCCAGTCAGGCTGTTTTGATTATTATGGCTTTGGGTCTGAATTGTTTCTTAGCCAGAACTCAAGTACCGATGTTGCTGAACCAAGATTCAGTCACTGGTAACATTCTAGTGCCGTTTCACCACCAACAGTTACACTTACCTATTTTTGCTTTAGTTGCCTTTGCTATTGGTGTGAAATTAAAAAAAAAAAAAAAGATCATTGCAAGACCAAAGTCAAAAATTTTGTTTTCTTTGAGGAGTTTTATACTTTCAGGTTTTATGTTTAAGTCTTGAATCCATTTTGAGTTGATTCTTGTGTATGGTGTGAGGTAAGGAACAAACCTCCTAATTCTGCATGTGGTACCCTTCTCTCCTGAGTGATATCCCTGCTTCAGGAGCAGGGCGTTTGGTGGAGGGCAGTAGTCTCCGGCTTTCCACCTGAAGCCTCTGTCTTAAGAATGAGCTAGGCCCGATATACCACACCACACCCAAAGGGAGGCCCTGCACTCAATGTGCGGAGGCTGAGTGGGAGAAGGGAGCCCCAGACTCTCAAATACACTCACCTAGAGCATGGCCTCTTCAGCAGGCAGCTGGGGAGTGAGATGAGAAATGCTTATTTCTTTCTCTTCCAGAAGGATACCTTAGCTCTCGATTGTAAGGTGAGGGAAGAGAGAGCCCTGTGTTCTTGGCTGTACCTGCCTAGAGTGAAGTTCTGTTCTGAGCTGAGGGGAGGGACAGAGAGGGTGGGTCATGATTCAAATGCCGCAGGATTTTATCGTTACTGCAAAGTTTAGTAGGTTTTATTGAATAAATATTTCTTTATTTGTTGTATGCCCTTAGGATCATTTACAAAGGCTTTAAATGGTTATTATTTAAATAATTTTCCCCAGTTTCACTAGGGCACAGATCCATCAATCTTCTCACTGTGCCATTCTTTTAAGTCTTAAAATTTTTCTGTTTGAGATCTTAGTGATTTATTTCTCTCTCCCTTGTAAAAGAAAGTTAATTTTTCTTTAGTCTTTCATGGTTGAGCACACTGTGATTGTAATAAATTACACTTGATGGATCTCAGTTGTGGCTTTATTTTTCATGAGGTGTCCATTTCTGGACTAAAAATTAGGCTCTGTGATCCTAATTTCTTAATCTGTGGAAATAAAATAAAAAAAAGCAATGTGTTCTGAAGTGATAGGACAAAGTGATCTTTAAAAAGTACGCCAAGTTTCTGTTCTGATATCTTGAGATCAGTTTCCTGAAGCTGTTTGGTCTAGTCAAGATTACTAAATAACAAGGTTCTCTTGTAATATATATCCTGAAAACATAGGTGCCCAGTGAGTCTCTTAGGGAAAGTCTAGTTAAGTCTTGCTGATTTTCTTAGCTCCCACTACAGTTTCATTTTGGCAAAATTTATTTATTATTAAAAACGTATGCCCTGGCCACTATGGCTTAGTTGGTTGAGTGTCATCCTGTGCACCAAAAGGTTGCCAGTTTGATTCCCAGTCAGGGCATGTGCCCAGGTTGTGGGTTCAGTCCCCCAAATGGGATGCAACTGATCGATGCTCTCTCACATCGATCTCTCGATCTCTCTCTCCCTCTCCCTCTCCCTCTCCCTTCTTCTCTCTCTAAAAAATCAATAAAAACATATTTTAAAAAATGTTTTGACTATTTTTTAGAGCTACTTAGCCTCTTGAGTTGACTTCCTTCTTAAGGATCAGAGTGATAGAAAACAAACAAACAAAACACACACACACACAAGTACTCATTTATCTGAATACTTTAAATTCTGTCCTTTAAATATTTAAATTACACAAATTGCCATGTTAATTTACACTCCTTCTAGTATGTGAAATAACCTTTCCTTCTCCTCTAGTGATGAACTGTATATTATTTAAACTTAGTCAAGGTGTCCATGCAATGCTGAGCTGATATCCAGAAATTTCTTGAATTGACTCAAACCTTCTGTTCTGACACCTTTGAGGTTATCCTCCAGTTTAGGTTCCATGAAGCCATCCAGTCTAGACCAGAGGCCTAAAGAACAGCCACTTCTGTGATTCTTGTCTTGAAAATACAGGGAAAACTGTCTAAGGAATTATCTGGAGAACATGAAGATGAGGATGTAGGAAATGAAAGAAAGCGAATTCTGGGGCACCCTCAGGAGATGATGAGTTCCGCAATACTTATTAAGAAGCTCACAAAGGTAACATCATTCACTGACCAGCATAAGCTGGCTTATTCCTACCCCAGAGCATGCCGTTGATGTCCAGGGTTCACTGTAGTTCTTTGGGATCTATATGTATTTCCCAAGTGTAATAGAAGAATTTTTGTGAAATTGTCTGAAGACAGTGGTCCATGGGGGTCTGGGCTATTTACTGTACTTGACCTATAAATATTCTTTACTATATTGATTTTTTAGATATATTTTAAGTATCCAGTCATTCTGGCTGTGAAAAATATCTCCGTAGCAATCCAAAAGGGGGAGTGCTTTGGATTGCTGGGATTCAATGGAGCTGGAAAAACTTCTACCTTCCAAATTTTGACTGGAGAAGAGACTGCTACCACTGGGCATGTGTTCATTGATGGCATTTGCATCACCAAAAATATCCAAAGGGTAAGACGCTATTACTGCCTGAGATGTGAGAAGCATGATGACCCAGGGTACAGGTAACAGGCAGGTGGCAGGAGAGAACAGATAGGAATTATGCTGGGCATCCATATAGATACTGTTGACTTCGTAGGTTCTGGAGGGAGAAATACATTTTTGATGAGAGAGAGTGAAGCATCAAGAGCAAAATCTAAGACGAGAGTGTCTTTGTGGTCTTTGAAGCTGTTAGAGTACAAGGGAAGTTCTGTCAACAGCGCGTCCTCCAAGGTGCGCCAGACAGGCTGCCGTAGGAAGGAAAGACGGGCCGCAAGGAGAAGGTGACCTGCGGTTGAGTGGTAAGTGAAGCCGTGGTTCCTCTTAGAGCTCTGTGACAGGGCGGCCACCTGAGCAGTCCCAGACTGAAGCAAGGCAGCTGGCCTGTGTACCCCTGGTCCAAGAGGTCAAACTCAAGGAAGTCCCAGGCGAGAGAAAGCCTGAAGGGGGTCCCTTGGCTATAGTAACTAGAACTCACTGCTGAAGCTGGCACTAGGGTTAGTGGGGCAGTGGTCGTGGGAGCCCGGACGGTGCAGGTCACTGAACTCTGCCATCTAAACTCAGAAGGTGGGGCTGGGGGAGCCTGTGTGCTGTAGGATACATGGCAGTGTGGTAACAAAAGTAGAATTCTATTTTGAAGAAAGTTATCTGTGGAGCAAAGGGAAGAATTAGGATTTACTCAGTTGTGAGAATGAGGCAGGAGCTACTTTATACATTGAACAATTTGATCACTAGATGGGAAGAAATTGAGGAACTAGAGGAAGAAGTGATACATGATGACAGAAGGTGAGTGGGTCCTGCCAGGTGGTCCTGGGATGGAAGAGGTGGGCAGGGGTCTTCCTAAGTACCCCTATCTATACCACTAATCAAATCCCTTCGGGGGACATGGGATTGTGAAGAATGACAAAAAGAAAATTAAGCAAAGGTGCTGCCAAACAGAAAAAGCTAAATTGGAAACAAAAGAAAAAGTCCTTTGCAGTGACGAACTCGGTCTGAGGGAGCTTTTCAATCTTCAGGAAATCTCTCCAAATTCGCTGTTCCAAAACATAACAGATGGTGATCTTTTCATTTCCTTGGGCTTTAAACATGTTTTTAACATTTTATAGTGATAAAAAATGTGTAACATAAGCCCGGCCAGTTTGGCCCAGGGGTTGAGCATCAACCTAAGATCCAAGTGATCGGGATTTAATTCCCAGTCAGGGCACATGCCTGGGCTGGGAGCTCCATCCCCAGCAGGGGGCGTGCAGGAGGCAGCCGATCAATGACTCTCTCATCATTGATGTTTCTCTGTCTCTCTCTCCCTCTTTCTTCCTCTCTCTCTGAAATCAATAAAAATATTTTTTTAATTAAATTAAAAAGTAACATAAAGTTTACCATTTCTGAATGTGCAATTCATTGGCATTCAGGTCATTCATATTATTGTGCAAACTTCACCACTCTCCATCTCCAGAACTTTTCCATTTCAGAATGAAAATCTGAACCTGTTAAACAGAGGCGCCTCACCCTCCTCCACCCCTGGTAGCCACTGTCATATAATATTTGTTCTTTTGTGCCTGACTTAGTATATCTAGCATAATGCCTTCAAGGTTCACATATGTATCAGAATTTTATACCACTTTCAGGCTGAATAGCATTCCATTATATGTATATATCACACTTTGTCCATTAATCCATTGATGAGCATTGGGGTTATTTCCACTCTTTGTCTATTATAAATAATGCTCTTCTGAACATGGGTGTACAAATATCTTTCAGTTATTTTGGGCATGTTTTTAAAAGTGGAATTATAAGACCTAGGGTAATTAGTTTAATTTTCTGAGGAAATGACATCTGTATTTTACTTTTTTTAAAAATATGTCTTTATTGATTTCAGAGAGAGGAAAGGAGGGGGAGAGAGAGAGATAGAAACATCAATGATGAGAAAGTCATTGATCGAGCCTGCAACCCAGGCATGTGCCCTGACCAGGAATCGAACCCCGATCGCCTGGATCCTAGGTCGATGCTCAACCGCTGAGCCACACCCGGCCGGGCGACATCTGTATTTTAAATTGGCTGTACCATTTTATATTCTCACCTGCAGTTCACAAGAGTTCCAATTTCTCCACATTATCACGGACACTTGTTATTTTTTTAATCGATAACACCCATCCTAGTGGGTGGGAAGTGGGTGGGAAGTGACATATCATTGTGGTTTGACTCTCATTTCTCTAATGATTTTGATGTTGAACATCTTTTCAGGTGCTTATTGGCCATCTGTATATCTTATTTGAAAAACTGCTTATTCAATTCCTTAGTACATTTTAAATTTGGGTTGTTTGATTTTTGTTGTTGGAAAAGTTCTTTATGTAATCTGGATAATTATCCCTCATCGTGTGTATGATTTGCAAATATTTTCTCTCATTCTGTTGGCTGCCTTTCAAATATCTTTTGATGCACAAAATTTTTAAATTTTGATGAAGTACAACTTACATACTTTTTTTGTTGCCTGAACTTTTGGTTTTATTTGTAAAATCATTACCAAATCCAATATGGTGAGATTCTCCCTATGTTTTTTCCCAAGAGTTTTACAGTTTTAGAATTTACTTTTAGGTCGTCGATCCATTTTAAGTTAATTATTATATGATAGAAGGTAAAGGTCACAGTTCAGTCTTTGCACCCTGGCCGGTGTGGCTCAGTTGGTTGGATATCGTCCAGGGTACTGAGAGGTTGCTAGTTCAATTCCCAGTCAGGGCACATGCCCGGGCTGCGGGCTCCATCCCTGGTAGGGCGTGTGCAGAAGGCAGCCAATGTTTCACTCTCACATCAATGTTTCTCTCTCTCTCTGTCCCTTCCTCTCTCTCTCTAAAAGAAAAAGTTATTAAAAAGAAAAAAAAATTCAGTCTGACTTGAATAAATAGCTGTCCCAGCACCATTTGTTTAAAAGACTGTTCTTTGCCTCACGAATGTCTTTTGCGCCCTTGTTGAAAAGCATTTGACCATTTTTGCAAGGGGTTGTTTCTGAGCTGTCCTGTTTCATTGTTCTATATCTGTCTTCCTGCCAGTACTATAGTATTTTGATTACTTCAGCTTTTAAGCAAGTTTTGAAAGCAGGAAGTGTATGTATGTATTCTTCTTTTTTGAGATTGTATTGGCTAATTAGGGACTTGAGCTCCCATACAAATTTTAAGGATTTTTTTTTTTCTATTTGTGAAAGAAAAAAAATTAGGATTTTGGTAGAGATTGCATTGAATCTGTAGATAATTTTTGCTAACTTTGACATCTTAATATTGAGTCTCTTAATCCATGAACATGGATGTCTTTCCATTCATTTATGTCTTCTTTAAACATTTTGTAGTTTTTAGTACAGATGTATTTTGATTCCTTGGTTGTCTGTTCCTAAGTATTTTATTTTTAATGTTATTGTAGATTGATTTGTGTGTGTTTTTAATTTCCTCTTTGGATTATTCATTGTTAGTGTATAGAAATGTAACAGATTTTTGCATGTTGATTTTGTATATTAAAACTTTGGTAAATCTGTCTATTCTAACTGGATTTGTGTGTCTGTGGACCCTGGAGTTCCCTACATATGGGATCATATGATCTGTGAACAATGATAATTTTACTTGCTTATTTCCAATTTGAATGTTTTTAATTTATTTTTGTGACAAATATCTGTGGCTATAATTTCAATATTCTGTTAAATAGAAGTGGTGAAAGCAGACATCCTTGTTTTGTTCCTGATCTTTGGAGGAAAACTGTCAGTCTTCCACCATTGAGTGTGGTGATAGCTATGGATTTTTTTATATTCACTTTTTTATGGTGAGGAAGTTTTCTTCTATTCCTAGTTGGTTGTATGTTTTTATCATGGAAGCACGTTAAATTCTGTTGAATGCTTTTTTTTAATCAATTAAGTTGTGTATTAAATGGACTGGTTTTCATATGTTAAACCATGCTCACATTCCAGAAATGAATTCTACTTAGTCATGGTATATAATTTTTAATAGACTACTGAGTTATGTTTTCTAATATACATCAGTGGGTATTACATCAATATTCACAAAGGATATAGGTCTGTCATTTTCTTTTTGTCTTTTTATGGCTTTGGTTCTAGGGCATTGCTGGCATCAAAAATTGAGTTAGGAAGTGTACTTTCTTCTTAAATTTTTGGAAGAGTTTGAGAAAGATTGGTGTTAATTCTTCTTGAAGTGTTTGGTAGAACTCACCAGTGAAATCATCTGGTCCAGGGCTTTTCTTTTTTGGAAGGTTTGTGATTAGTGATTTGATCCCCTTAGTTATCAGTCTGTTTGGATTTTCTATTTCTTTTTGATTCAGTCCCAGAATGTGTGTGTCTGTAGGAATTTTCCCATTTCATCTAGGTTATCCAATTGGCTGCTGTGCAGTCGTCCATGCTAGTGTCTTATAATACAGGGGTGGGCACAAGTAGGTTTACAGTTGTGAGTATGTGAAACAGTTTATTCTTGTGCTGTTTATTAATTATTGTATTATTTTTCCATACAATCAACTGTAAACCTACTTTTGCCCACCCTGTATTTGCGTAAGATCAGTAGTAATGTTCACACTTTATTTCTGATTTTAGTCATTTGTGTCTTCCCTTTTTCTTTAGTCAACATAATAAAGGTTTTTAACTTTGTGATCTTTTCCAAGTACTAACTTTTAGTTTTGTTAACGTAACAAGTCATTTAAACCTGTGAAGAATTTTTTTGTGAGTTTATTTGAGCCAAACTATCGACAATTGCCAAGAAGCAAAATCTCAATGCATCAAAATAATGCTCCTGAGAATGGCAGTTTTGCCCCTTGCTTTATAGATTCCAATCAAAGGGGAAGACATAAGTGGGTTACATGAAACCATTGGTGATTGATTAGGGAGGTGGGAGAAAGCAAAGTGGGGAAACCTCTGGGATTGGATAAAAGTAAAATGATAGACACACACTTCTTTTACCTGGGTGGGTTCAGGACAGTTAACAGTCAACAGT